ATATATATATATATATATATATATATATCAGCTTACACAACCAAAAACAGTTACAAAATGCTTTTTGAGCTTACTTACTTGCTTCAGAGAACGTTTCCCACTCTAAAAGAAAAAAATGTTTTTACGATGAACGTTGCCAAGTCCTATAGTGTGGTCTTGTCCTTGAGAGCTACTAACATCAGGTAGCAGTCAAGACCTTTTTGTCCCAAATATTTTGTCCCGAATAGGTTCGGATTTGTTGCATTATAGTTTATCCAACTTCGAGTGATACATACAACACTGACTGTTTCTGGAAACTGGAGCAAATCGATATGAAAATGACTGCTCTTTGCTCAAAATCAGTGTTCCTGGTGTATATTTGGGTCTTTGAGAACATAAAGTTGCCACGACGTTTTGGGTGGGTAAGAACAAACTGGACTGGTCCCTCCGAGATATGGCCTCGTTTGTGAAATGTTTTCCGCCAGGGAAAGTCAACATAAATTTTAAAAAACGCTGGAAGGAGCTGTACGGTTGTTTTCCATTCAGTTAAACTGTTTACAAGTGCCACAGATGATAAAAGCGTTCACAATTGTGGAAAGAATGAAGCATCATAGTTCAGTTACTCGAAGAAAACACGTATTTTTGAGTTGTACGTGAAGGTGATATGGTAACTTCTGCATTCAGTTAAGATAATTTTTATTGGATTGCTTCCCTGGTAATATCCTTAGAAGAAATGGATCATTCTAAGAATATCGATATATTTTTCAAACGACAGTCTTTTTTAAGTCAAAATAAATGCCTTCTACTACGAACTCACTGATAAATACTTTAAAGCACTATATTCATTTAGACACTTATGTGATATCTCACCGGCTTTCACCGTCTCACTATTTTCGACTCATGGGGAAACGCATGATATCTATTTCCGATTTCACTACTGGCAAGCGATCGGTCACTGCGTAAGCATGTGAGACCTTGCTAAAATCTTTAGAGGTTTGTCCTTCTCTAGTCGTTCTTTTCACGCCAGCACCCTGTTGGTTTTATCCACACGAAGTTATCTGACGTCTCATTGCGTACCGAAAACTCACGCCGGTGTTTTATCAGAGGATTTTAGTAACAATGTGGCTGAGAACCAATCAAGTAGGAGTACAGTGACAATTTGCCTGAGAAAAATGAGATGTCGTTCGACCTGTAATAAAATATACTAAGGTTAGAGTGTCATCGGACGCGTTCAAGCGTAGCCACATTATGCCTTTTGACAACACTGAAGCTGATCACGTGGTTCCAGGTGTCACGAGTCACAAGATCAGCTGATCATCAGTTTCAGCAACAACACTTAATGGATTAGCACTGCTAGGTCTCCGAATTTTCTGCTGCTTACTGTAAGCAGGCCGAGTAATCTGACTGCCCCAAAGAAGTGGGTTTTACACAGAAAGTAATAAAAAAAAACTGAAATTTTTCATAGCTTACTTGAATGCCAATCTGTTCACAGCAAACAAATCCAAGGGAAAAGTAAGACTCAACCAAATAAAGGCCAATAAATAGGTCAAAAAGTTTTTTTACAGTTGCGTACAGAAGAAGCTGATCGGACAGCTGCCCAAATTGAAATAAAGAACAAACTTCGGGTTAGTGGATATCCAGCTAGTTTGATTCACTCAAGAGCACAGATTCCATGGTTGACCTAAAGCAGGGAAAACTGGTGACAAGGTATGGCGCAGTCAAGCAGCCAAGCACTGCCATGAGTGAGCTGCATGTCCGCAAGCTTGTGGTATGGCGCAGTCAAGCTTGAAGATTATCCAAGCATTGCCATGAGTGAGCTGCATGTCCACAAGCTTGTGCCTTGTAACGTACCGTCAGTAGAGTCCGTGGTCGAGGAATATTCCGAATTGTTCACAGACATGGCATGCACCAAGCAAACTGCCCGCAAGAGCACTGATGGGAAGGCCCCGAGGAAGCAGCTCACGACCAAGGCCGCGCGCAAATGTGCACCAGTCAGCGGTGGTGTGATTAGGCGTCGGTTGCGGAGGTTATTGGTACCGGTGGCGAAAGCCAACACGGGGTGATTTGTGACTGCTGTTATTTCATATGAACCAGGGACAGCGGTGGTCATTCAAAGGCTAACATGAGAGTAGCTTTCCCGAAGGGAGACATTTTGTGCTCAACATTGTTCAACTGAAGGATCGCCTCCCGACAAACAGGGAATTGTGCCTACAAAACTAACTGTAACGCCTTCACTAAGTACTATATAAGGCAAACGGCCAGGGAGCTTCACACCAGAATAGAAGAGCACACTAAAGAAAATAAACGGGCCGTCGAGTAACGTGGATGCATACTGAGCGTCACTGAAAGACTTAGCGATGGTAGAACATGCACTGAAAACGGGACACAAAATACATTCAGAAAATTTTGAGGTTTCGAGACGACGATTACGGTCCACGCCATAGACACTGATGGCCTAGGCGGTGGAGATGACCAAGCATCCCAGTGTAAATAGATTATAAGGTGTAGAACTGGCAAGTGTATGGATAGCAGTTTTGGATCAGCCGAGCTGACATGTGCTTACATGCGAATTTCACCTAGTCTCACCCTCCTTCCCTCCCACTGCCCACAACTAAATTGTCGCGGCACTCACAAGCCCACACAGACCAACGGCGTCCGCCAGCTGCACCCAAGGTAAACCTTTAACGGAAGCACCTTGATGTGGAAGCTTAAGAAGCTCTCCCAACCCATTAACCGAAGGATTAAGGCAACCACACTAGCCGACAAGACATTTTAACTGATATCCAACACTGATCTAGTGAGCTTATATGAAGAAGTGTCATCGGATGCGTTCAAGCGTAGCCACATTATGCCTTTTGACAACACTGAAGCTGATCACGTGGTTCCAGGTGTCACGAGTCACAAGATCAGCTGATCATCAGTTTCAGCAACAACACTTAATGGATTAGCACTGCTAGGTCTCCGAATTTTCTGCTGCTTACTGTAAGCAGGCCGAGTAATCTGACTGCCCCAAAGAAGTGGGTTTTACACAGAAAGTAATAAAAAAAAACTGAAATTTTTCATAGCTTACTTGAATGCCAATCTGTTCACAGCAAACAAATCCAAGGGAAAAGTAAGACTCAACCAAATAAAGGCCAATAAATAGGTCAAAAAGTTTTTTTACAGTTGCGTACAGAAGAAGCTGATCGGGCAGCTGCCCAAATTGAAATAAAGAACAAACTTCGGGTTAGTGGATATCCAGCTAGTTTGATTCACTCAACAGCACAGATTCCATGGTTGACCTAAAGCAGGGAAAACTGGTGACAAGGTATGGCGCAGTCAAGCAGCCAAGCACTGCCATGAGTGAGCTGCATGTCCGCAAGCTTGCGTCTTGTAACGTACCGTCAGTACAGTCCGTGGCCGAGGAATATTCCGAATTGTTCACATACATGGCGTGCACCAAGCAAACTGCCCGCAAGAGCACTGATGGGAAGGCCCCGAGGAAGCAGCTCACTACCAAGGCCGCGCGCAAATGTGCACCAGTCAGCGGTGGTGTGATTAGGCGTCGGTTGCGGAGGTTATTGGTACCGGTGGCGAAAGCCAACACGGGGTGATTTGTGACTGCTGTTATTTCATATGAACGACAGACAGCGGTGGTCATTCAAAGGGTAACATGAGAGTAGCTTTCCCGAAGGGAAACATTTTGTGCTCCACATTGTTCAACTGGTCGCCTCCCGAACATTGTTCAACTGAAGGATCGCCTCCCGACAAACAGGGAATTGTGCCTACAAAACTAACTGTAACGCCTTCACTAAGTACTATATAAGGCAAACGGCCAGGGAGCTTCACACCAGAATAGAAGAGCACAGTAAAGAAAATAAACGGGCCGCCGAGAAACGTGGATGCATACTGAGCGTCACTGAATGACTTAGCGATGGTGGAACATGCACTGAAAACGGGACACAAAATACATTCAGAAAATTTTGAGGTTTCGAGACGACGATTACGGTCCACGCCATAGACACTGATGGCCTAGGCGGTGGAGATGACCAAGCATCCCAGTGTAAATAGATTATAAGGTGTAGAACTGGCAAGTGTATGGATAGCAGTTTTGGATCAGCCGAGCTGACATGTGCTTACATGCGAATTTCACCTAGTCTCACCCTCCTTCCCTCCCACTGCCCACAACTAAATTGTCGCAGCACTCACAAGCCCACACAGACCAACGGCGTCCGCCAGCCGCACCCAAGGTAAACCTTTAACGGAAGCACCTTGATGTGGAAGCTTAAGAAGCTCTCCCAACCCATTAACCGAAGGATTAAGGCAACCACACTAGCCGACAAGACATTTTAACTGATATCCAACACTGATCTAGTGAGCTTATATGAAGAGATCTTACGAACTGGTTCTCCGTCTACCTTAAGACCTGACCACCTTAGTTATCTGCTCACTTCGCGCAATAAAGCTCTCGTGTCAAAAGTGGAACGTTGCCTATTAAAAACTACTGATTGTTTACTAAGTCATTCTGAAACGGCCCTTCCTCAACCGGTTCAAACAATTTCCCACTGATCTGTGAGAATTGTTCTTGTGGAAATAAAAAGCGATGTGTGCTTAATTGAAACATTCTCATTTTACAATTATATACATTTCAGACCCTTTAGTTACCAAATTATCTCTATGTTGAAAACAAACGCTTTGATGTTGTTCGTCAGAAATCAATGGTCATTCTCTTTAGATAACAAAAGTTCTTGCAAGATGGCGAGCTATTTATAAAATTTGAAATACGCAATGCCCTGATAGAAGGTATACCGGTTTTGGTCAGTTCCCGTTAATTTAAACAAAAAAATCACTGTGGATATTCACGAGGGTGTGGCACCAGAGTACTATTCAAAAATTTCATTTCATAGAATCAGTGGCATCATCTCGCTCTTGGTTTTTTAACTTCGAACAGCAGCACAACTGAGTTACGTTGCGCCAAAATGGAATTGCTAAAAGATTTCTTGGAGATGTGATTTTTGGTAAAGCAGAAATGGCACCACCATAGTTTGAATTTCACCAGTTCTCAAAGTATTTTCCGGCTTTGATGATTTTATCAAGAATGACTGAATCACTTATGTACTGGATACATGGAAAATGGGCTAAACACTTAGTGATTTAGCTAGGTTTGATCAATCATTGACAGATTTGGGCTTTTGTGCTTTGCTATGCTAAGAAACTCTCCTATCAAAATAAACTGCTACTGTTTTGCATTTTTATGCTAATAAACCGATTTTTGCAGCAAACGCTCCAAGAAAACCTTGGAGATTTATCGAGGTATATTGATGAAAACATAAGGAGGACTTGAGTTTTTGTTCTCCCCCTGAGAAAGGTAACGCGTTTTACGCCAGGTTTTGGAATTCGTACGACTAACACAGATTTAAGTAACCTGCAAAGCACTTTTTGGATCTCGTACACAAGGAAATCAAACTTTTTGACCTATAATACTCTGTTTGCGTCTGTAGAATACAAACGTAAACTCGTCCAGAGTGCCAAATAGTTGCACCCGATTCCTATACATTCAGTTCGTGGCAGAGAGTCATCAACACGGTCATCCATAAAACTAAGTTAATTGACGATTATGTCTGAAAAATCCTTGACATATTCTTGATGCACTCTGAATTGGTATACGAACTCATGGCATTGGTAATTGTTCCTATGGTCCGCATGTCTTAGTGTAACCGTGATACTACTAATTGGAGGGTATGCGAGTAGCATGTCTTCTCGTAAATCCGCTTTGCGTCTCTTCAAAAGTGAGATCTGTTACGGAATTTGTGAGTAGCTTTGTAGCATTTGCTTGGATTTGAGCAACGGTCAATGCATATTCAGGAAAGTTCAAGAAGACGCGCTCAAGAGAAGGTGTGTTTTGTAAATAAGGTGCATATGAGAGTTTTGCTTCCCTGTCCAATAGTTTATAGCTGTTCAGTTGGCATTTCTTAATAAATAACTCCGCAGCAGAAAGCTCCTTTCATTCGTATTCCTTTCAGTGTCCTGTTGTGCTGTGCCTACCAAAACTGTTTTGGGTGGTTGCATGCACAAGCATGAGGCTTTATTAGATTCTTAGAATCCCAAATCTGTTTGGCTTGAAAGGACCTCGGTTGTTTTAAACTGTTAGTATTTTTTGAAACATGTGAGGCGACGGCTGAACAAGGTTATGAGCCCCAAGAGGGGCGGAACCGATCGTGGGCTGTCGGAGAGTATTCATCAACCTAATGAGGAACCGATCGTGGGCTGTCGGAGAGTATTAATCAACCTAATGAGTGGTGTATTTTGTCTATGCATGTATCGCAATACAGTGGTGTATTTCGTCTATGCATGTATCGCAATATCCAAAATATCGTACTAACAGATACATGAGGCGACCTGACGCAGCATATTCAGTTGCTTAAAAACGTCATAAACGAGAGTTTCAGTTGGGTTCCAGGTGAGTCTCCCGTCAAAACCAAATAGGTGTATATCGCCTATTTCGTGCGATTTGGGTTCAATACAACATGAGGTTTACGAAAATTGGGGAACTGAGTCTGTCTGATGAACCCAAGAAGGNAACATGAGGTTTACGAAAATTGGGGAACTGAGTCTGTCTGATGAACCCCAAGAAGGGCGAAGTCCTGCTGAAGAGGTTTTAACAAACCTATGAGTAGTATATTACGTCTAAACTGACTCGTCAGGCGTTGTTAGAAGAACCAAACACGATCGTTAGTTGGGCTCTGAGCTATCGCTGAAGCATCTCCTAAACTGCTAAAAATGTGTAGTTGGCGTAAGCTAAATTATTTTTGTTACACATCTGGCATTAATACCAATTTGTGTCACACAGAAACGGTCGGAGTCTGCTTAAACAAGTAATATCCAAACATCCCCTAAACTCACAAACATATTCACACAGGCAATCATGGTGTTGCTTCTCAAACTGGGGGTGTGTTGCTGAATCCACTGGTTTGGTAACATCTTTTTAAAAAAACGACAGCGTGACAGACCATCGGCAAGGTGCAAATTTCTCTCGAAACACTTTGGCGTTTTGGATTAACAAACCTTCCCAGAAGAGACCAAGTTAACGCTGTCAGCTGGTTCACTAAAGTGGTAACTCAAGGGCGGATGACGTCGAAAAGGTATCTTCTCTAATCAAAAACCCTTAAAATAGAACATTTTCCACTGCAGTTTTTATGACACTGATCAGATACCCGATTGGGATTAACAGGTACGAAAGTCGTGTAGCCGTAATATAAAAAAACTAGCCTGTGTAATACTGCTGCTTTGGTCTAGGTATCAGACTTTATCAACACCTTCAAACCTTTTCTTTCCTATTCATCAGTAAATGGCCCGATTTCATTCGTGTGAAAATTCTCACTTTCAGGAGCGAGAACAGCAACGAAAACGGTAAAATTAATCTACACTTCCGGTTTCGGTTGGAAATGCTCAAACTGAAGTGAAGTTCGCTAAAAGAGAAGCAGTCAATAAGGTAAACTATTCGTCATCCTTTTACTTCCTTGTAAAAACAGATGAGCTTAGATGAAGTTATGGGAATCCAGGAGGTGATAAACCATCATCGGTTCGGCCAACATCAATCGTATGTTGATTCCAAATAGTTTCGGTACAGTATACCACGAAAGCCCACATTTGAAATCCATCGGGCCCACCCTGTCATTCCTGTGTCTCTGGTTTTCTAAGGAGCAAAGCAGGGATTTAGGAAATGATGGTTGACTTGCTTTTGGTGGCCAAGAATCACCTTACAGTCATTCTAATGGCAACGGATAAAAAAGCTGGTGTAAAAAATCATTTGTCAATTTAACAGATTGAGCACCCTCATTACACAGTTCTTTAGAGACCGCATATTTCATTTACGTCAATCGAGCTGAAGTCATCCACTGTGTTCCGCACCCGTGGACATAAACTTGAACAGGTGACTCCAAAATGAGAACTAAATAAAACGCCTTTACTGAATGCTCATCTCGAGCAAACGCACATAGAATTGGCCGGCATTTTTTTGGGCCCACTGTATTCCCGTATTGCGTCTGATGCATACTCAACTGTAAACCCCCTTTTTAGTGCCTAGCTGCCACGCCACACGAGGGAAGCACGAGGGCTGAGATACTGCCAGGTTGCCTAAGCCTAGACAGGGAAAGTTGAGAGGCAGAGTTCGGGTTCGAACCACGGACCTCCCGTTCAGTAAATTTGCGCTCTAACCAGTAAATGATCCCGCTTCTGATGCGTACTCAGTAAACTTTGCAATCAAATTTGACATTCTTGTGATTAATTATTCCAGTGTTATTTTGGAAAGATTATGAGAATAGTGAAAGTCAGATGTCAGAACTCAGTAGACTGAAATGAATACACCCAAATTCACTTACTTTGAACATCTTTGGGGGAGATTACTATAGATTGGTAGGACAAAGACAACCGAGGTGAGCTATGCTTCTATTAGTCCTACTTCAGAGTAAATGGATTTCTCAACAAAAACCATAAACGAAAGTGAACGTTCGAAGTGGAGTAATTGGTTAACAAGTGCCTCCACACCCATACATCACCTTCCAAATGATAAAAGGAACTTAAATGAAGCCGTTTTTAGACTCATTTTCAAGTGTGGCTGATTGAGTCCAAACACTTTAGGCGTTCTAAGCGGTTACATTGGGCTACACGCTTCTCAAAAGAAGCTATCGAGAAGTACACCTAAACATTGAAGGGAGCAAAAGTTACTGAAAGCACGCACTTGCCAAATATCTTTGTGTTATTAGATAAGTAGAATTGAATGCACGGTAGCCACTCGTCAAAGAATATAAAACAACAGACCTTAATCACCACAAGAGTCCTGAAAATGCACCCCTCGATCCACCCGGAAGCCAGCATTTGTAGCAGCTTAATTAATGCTGAGGAGATTGCAAACCTCTCGGGACGATCGGCAAAACATCAGCGCCTTCCTAAATATAGTAGTTAGAAAGCTGACAGCTGACTGCCTGTTGATGCAGTTATATAGTTTTTTATTTCAATTTCGTGAATTCTGTTTATTCCACTGATGTATGACAGGAGGAACTTAGGAAGTAAAGACGTTAAACTTTCTAAATTAAACTGCTGGCAGTATGCAATTATTCAAATAAATCTAGTTATTCCATTAGCTGTTACAAAATCAATGCACCATTTTGGTGACTGATTTGCCCGCTGCTCCGCTGTTTTTGTTTTTCAATGAATTTTTAATGTTTTGCTGTTTTAATGTGGTCACGAGTAGTTTCTAACGAACTGCGTGGCGAAGCTAAAACAGGCAAAATAGATCGCTGACTTTTTCGAAGATCTTCCAGATATCTGGTGCGCTTCCAGTGACAAAATTCAGTTAGTGGTCGGTCTATGAACCGAAACCCAGCAAGACGTGTGCTGATCACAGTTCATTTCACTACTTCCAGAAATAATCCTCTTTTCTGATGCACAGTTAACTACCCTGAAAACGGTCAAGATGCCAGAATAACCGTGATGATGGTACACAATGCGATAAAAGACGATGATTTGTTTTAGCCTGAGCGCGACAGTCTATGCACAACTGCTTCTGGATGTCCTTGTCACTCAGCTAGGCCTCACTCAGAAAGTTCGTAGACAACCAACATCTGTGGCTGACTGTTTTGAATTACGAAACTCATTACAGTGTGCTCCATGCCGGTGCTGTGTCTTGCGAAAACAATTTGGAGATTCCCATGAGTGAAACCATTAGGGTATGTGTTGCTGAGGAGGTCACCGCAAGTCAAAGTTTGTTGGAGCTCGTTGGAGCTCCTAATTGTTCTGAAGACTTCTAAATTATGAAAACCGAGAGTGATGAAGACAGTTTTCTAGGCCTTCATCTTCGACCGCCTGATGCATTTGCGCGTCAAGAAGAGCTGCTAGTGAGGAAAATATCTGGTGTGGACAGAGTAATGAGCACATTGAGTGAACCATGTTCTTGGAATGCGAACAAACACAAAAACACATGCTTTGATATGTGCGTAGAAACTGTTCTTTGCACACATATGTAAAGGATAGGCAGAATCAATTTTTACCTTCATATACCAGCAAATATCTTTCAATCTCTTTCCATTTTTAGCAGACTCGGATATAGAGTTTGAGTAATATCAGTTGATTCGACAGGCGTAAAATGAGTTTATAGCAAATGAGGATAGCTTTGCTTTCCTTACAGATTTTTTCATATCAGAGGGCTTTTTAGGGGCCGGATAGAACCATACATTTCGGATATAAATATAACCTCAGGGGTTTGGTAATATTTGGGAAACCAGCAACTTTGTTGGGACCTTCAGTTATTTTCGGGTGAAACTGCACACATATATAGACAACTTAGAATGTTCCCCTCAGTCACTTTGTCTTGCGTGTCAACGCACTAAGCTCAACTAAGACTACTGCCCTTAAGAGAATGTTGCTTACACCACAGTTTTATGATTAACGGCCCGAATAACTATCGTACTGCTCTAAGCGTTTTACCAGGAAAAAACTGTAAAATATTTTTAGAGGCTTTTCATTGCCGATAGACCTGGATCGTTAGCACCGCCTTCATCACTAAATTTCAGCTCTGTTTGCCCATTATGTAATGCAAAGTAACTTATGTTACATGTAATTTTATCAGCACCAACTTACGGTTCGAACTCCTGGGATTAGTTCTGTCCTCTATTACGGGCGTAACTGGAGTAACTGCCTCATAACTGTCCACGTCGCCATCCTCAGTTTCTTCATCCAGATCGTCGTTGGCATGTTCGATAAAGGGGAACTCTTCATCGTCATCCAGATTCAAATCATCTTCATCGATTTCTACATCATACTCATCTATATTCACAAATTCTTCGTCATCCACTTCAGTGAATTTGCCAACAGGGTAGTACTTAGCCTCTGAAGACAAAGACGAACTGTCTCAAGAAATGTGGTGATGTACGACGAAGCAATGTTAGTTGTGGAATCAAAACGGTTTGGGTAGATCGATATCTGAGAATACGGCACTTATTTTCTGGTTTCCCATTGTCCGCTGATTTTGTAAACATTCCAACTTCTGGTTAGCGACATAGTTACTTCGTACATGAGCTAAAACTCACGACCTCAAAAACTAGTCATAAATTTGTATAGATTTTTGTTACTTGAGCCATTTAGTACGGGTGACCTTGGTGATCCAAAATCCGCAGTTTGAAAACCGCCAGGGTAACAAGTTGAGAGCATTAAAACATTGACAGGATGAGAAGTGAGCTGGGTTGTAACACACACACACACACAAACACGGTAACCATTGTCTTTGTACTATTCGGTTACCAGAACTAGACGAATCAATTATGGTTCATACGTCTTCAATGCCGCAAGCATTTTCTACCTGTATGGGTATCACTGTGCACGGCTAATAAAAAAAGTGAAATGAAGTGGTTGCGAAATTTCAATAAAAGCGGGTAATTTTTTGTTTTTCTTCATTTTTTTCAGCCTAAATGATCCAATTTCTAAGCACAGGTCTTAATAAGTAGCTCATAATCCGGGAAAATCTGGTTGCGGTATCAATTCGACCTTGGGATGATGAGTCGAGGGGCTCGGCAAAACCAGCAGTGCCTCCTACATCCTCTCAAGGTTCATCTGCAGTTGCGGTGACTCTGTCGTTGGCAGAACGAACCATTGCTTTTGTCAAAAGATCGCAGAATACATTCCAGATATCTCGAGCCCTTCACGTGACAGCATTCAACTAGTGCTCGGTCTACAGCCCGTAACCCAACAAGACACAAGTTGGTCACAGATCATCGAGTAACAATACTTCATCAGGATTTCCGCTTCCAGTGTTCTGGAAGTAAGTATTTGATTGGTAAACGGGCACTATATGGTTTGGTGGAGATTTATAATAGTCCCAGTTAATGTGCGGACTGTTTACTTCAACTGCGGGCGCTAAGACTTGGTTGGAGAAACTTCCAGGAATGAGGCTCGGAGTTACCGAGAGCTACCACTCTTGCACGCTGTACAGTCTGCATGTAAATAACCTGCGCCGCATTTGATGATAAACAACCGTCAGTTTTTTCTGGTTTCGTCCAAATTATGTCCTTCAGCATTTGATCACATGTCTTTAGAAACTTGTTCACTGCGCTATGAGATATTTTGAGTTTAAGTGCGTAGATTGATTTTTTCGGCCAGCTTGAGGTGGTTTGTTTTTTACGGTTTTGTTAAGCAAAAGCTTTCCGTGAGGCACTTTGATGGACACAATCCAGGCCTGCATCACTCCCGACTTAATCATCAACTCCGATACGTGGGCATCATAAAAAGGAAGTGAAACGATGATTGACATGAATTATACTCATGAAACGGTTAATTATACTATAATTGAACTATATATATATATATATATACTATAATTAAACTTTGTTGATCCAACGACTGGAGCTCACACACAAACCATCGAATCTCTTTGGCACGTCTACAAGATGCAAAATCAACGCCAAAGCGACACACCGATCTTTAGTGGACAGCTACTTGTGTGAGCTCATTGGAAGTGAAGGTACCGGAAAACGAACCTTTTCATGCAAATTATTAAGGACGGCCCAATTCCACTCTCTTCAATAAAAACTAAAAGTACAAATTTCATATCCTCTTTTTTGGGTGGAGTGGGTTCATTTTTTGTAGGGTTTATCTGGAAAAAATCCAGATATTTGATATGAGGAGTGTTGAGTGGATCTAAGCAGTAAACCGCTTGACAAGCGTGTAGAGGCATCAGAATCAATGTACATGGCTGTCAAAGTCTCATCGGTAATGGTGATCTGTTGAAGAGAGAACATAATGTGTATTTAGGCCTATATATACAGTGTTGTACTATTTCGATAAGGACGCACCACTCAACAAGATCGAGAACTGTCTTAGAATGCTTCGTGGTTGTTCGAGATGATTACGTGAACTCTTCTGTGATAGCTTTCAGTTGACAGAGATAGTTACCTGTGGCAAAATGTTTTCGTAACTGTTTCTGCAGTAGACAAGGTTCATGAATGACAAAGAGGGAGAAGCACACAATTGTACGTTTTCCTAATGAATATCTCGCCGGAGCTTCACGGGCATTGACTCACGTGGTCGGACGGTTGCAATAAAAGTCAAGGTTATCCAAAACAGAATTTCTGCAATTCTCATGGTGACATGAATGTAGCGGGGGTATGGCTTTGTTATATAGGGTGCTGATACTGACCTTCTTCCGTTGGTTTGTGCCCTGCTTTCTGGAATATTCTAACGATCCTTTCGCCTGACTGTTTTTTAATAAAAATTGATCGAAATAATCGACTGTTCCAGATTAGAGAAAATATTAGGCCTCGACAAATTGGATAGACTGGATTCAGTGCTGCGTTTGATTCAAAAGTCACCGCTTGTAAAAAAAAGTATAGTGGTTACCTTGAATCAATAGAACACTGAAGGGCAGAAACTCTAATTTGCGCAGGTGTTGATGGCCTCTTGATTAACGAACATAAGAGGTAGAGACAAACGCGCTGTAACAAGATTTAGAAAGCACAATTAAGCGTTCTTAATATCGGATGAATTAAATGGTCAGATTGATTTTCGTCAGATGAAAGAGAGAAATTGAATGATGCTATGGTGCGGGTTCATACACACAGCGGCTAGTCAGCGATAGAAGTTGCTTCCTTGAGTTCAGACTGTACCCACATCACAGTGCGGTTTCCTGTGTAGCATCAATGAACTGCTGCGTATCTCGTAAAAACAGTTTAAGGGTTCACAGTCACAATACAGGCAACATAATTGCGGCGGTCTTACAGCTGCTTTTTTAAAGAGTAAGTGCTGTAGTTGATTTTGGTTCTACAGCTTGTCGGTTGTTTTCTACCAGAACATGGAATCCTCTACACGAAGATGTTTGGAGCACTCAACCTTGGATTGAGATGCCGAATTTTCAAATTTCCCATGTAAGTCATCGATATACACTTCATACTTTTCAGTATTAGTTCCAAGAGTCTGCCCGTTGGAACACTTCCCATGAGCATTTTTGAGTGTATCATATGCACACTGAACTCTCTACGTTTAATTGGGTTACGCAGGAATATAAAAGAGTGTCTCATCCCACGCTTTCGTTCTAAAATAATCTCGGGAGCCAATCAAGTCACATTGATCATTCTAAGGCAATGCCTTCCTCTTGTGCACAAAATTTGCTTCAAAAGATATCAGTAACAGTAACTCACTGAAAGCCAAAAATTTTCGGTTAGTCTTGTGGAGTGAAGATTGTTTAGTCACATAAATCAAAAGCCATTATTATTATCGATAGTAGTACATCAGTGATCAACACCCATGCTTTTTCCCGTACTACTAGGATGTATTAGAAAGTTTTATTATGAAGTAAAGAATAAAGGTGGATCGGGGGAAGGTACTTGGTGTTAACTTTCTACAATCATTCCAGGCGCTCACTGAGGCAACCCGGATAGGATCTGATAACAAAAACAACACTGACATCGTTTGGCATCCACTTCATGCTTGGACAGGCCACAGTCGCACAAAAAACACCCCACCCACATGTGGCCTGAGTACTTGGTGTTAACTTTCTACAATCATTCCAGGCGCTCACTGAGGCAACCCGGATAGGATCTGATAACAAAAACAACACTGACATCGTTTGACATCCACTTCGTGCTTGGACAGGCCACAGTCGCACAAAAAACACCCCACCCACACTGTGGCCTGATACACACGTCCCTTGAGATTCACTGATTTGACGCCATAGGTGTCTTAAATTAGCAGACGTCACCGTGGCCTTGGGGATAAGTGTACTGACCTAGTCTGTCACGCTACAAACGCAACTAATACAACATCCAAGATACGCAAGTCGCTACACAATTTCCAGTGCCTCCTCTTGGATTGTAAGTGGCGTGTTCAGTGACCGCATGTCTACGAGCATGATCTTAAACTTTGTGGGTGCAAAGAGCATATCAATGGATTTTGGTCAGTGTATCCAAGATGACTTGAACCTTCTCTTCCTCTTGGAAGTCGAGGTCGATGTCGTCTGCCTATTCCAGATCGACAAAGTTTTTGTAGTAGACTAGTTGAAATGCCTTCCAGCGTTCGTCTCATGATTTCATTGACCACGGTGTTAAATGGGAATTGGGAGAATGGGCATCCCCGACGGGAACTCTCAACGAAGGGACGCAAACCAAGATTCTCAGTTTGTCTTTTATTTGTCGTTCGGGGAAACACTTTTGTCTCACGGCACTAATGTCTCTGAATCAAGACTGTTCTGTAATGCACTTTTCTTCAGTGACCTGAATGAATTTGACTGTTACACTGTCTTGTTTCATCCACCAACACGAAGCAATATATACACGGGACGAGATATCTCAGTGATTAGAGCACGAATTCGCTGACCGGAAAGCCTGTGGCTAAAACCCCACCTTTGTCCCTCGACCTCCCTGCCTAGACTTGGACAACCTGGCAGTATGCCAGTCCTCGTGTTTGCTTTGGATGCCATGACAACTGGGCAATGAAAGAATGTTACAGCTGAATGATTTTAATACTACTTGTGGCTTGTTGAAACATTTGCACAGTGCTTCTAGGCTTTTTGACATTCATTAACTTCACTTACGTTACGTACGGTATATCCCACCTCTCAACATCTTTGGTCGAATAGCTCTTTGTGCAACCCCCCACCAGCAGCATTGCTTCTCTGGCCTTAGTATAGAGGTAGTCGAATATATCAAGTTAGCTAGTGTAATGTGGTCAAATGGGACATGAATAGTTAATTACGTCACTTTTTAGAAGATAGTAGTCGCTTGATAACACCATAAACGAGAGATTCAGCTGGGTTTCAGGTCAACCTTTCATCAAAACCAAATTGGTATGCAAATGAGAGTATTTCGCCAGAATAATGAACGGACTATCGCTTGGAAGGCATGGGTGTTTCGGTGTTCCAGACTTTTCGGGAAATATGCAACGGTCGTCGAAAGCCTCATAGTAGCCTAACGATCTCGAGAAATGTGTCTCCGGGTTGTTTTACAAAGTCGGATCTTTCAGCCGCAGTATATCTTCTAGGCATAGCTGCTGTGTAACCTGTAGGAAGTACGGAGCTAAAAACTTGCCCGCGGAAGGAATGGAGCAGAACTACGGATCTTTCTAGTTAGCAGTCCCATCCAGAACCTTTGAGCCAACACGAGCTTGTCTTCTTGGGTTTCACTTTGCAGGCCGGTATATGTTGCACCTTTTGTGGTTACCAAGGTGAACTGCATGCTTGTTCTGATCGTTTGTGTTTCTGTATCTGAGTTGGTGTCCTCCCCACTTAGCGTTGCGTGTCTTTCGAATGAGACCTCCAGTTTTTGGCTTCTAGCACCTGGTGGCTCGGGTTTCTTAAAAAAGAGCCTTGGGTTGGCCAACCTTGGATATGTGACCCTCGGTTGATGTCAATGCCATCGATTTTTGGTGGGTTATAGTGTTTTGCAAAGGAAACTGCTTATGTTGAGATAAATTGCTCTTACTGGAAGTTGTGAAGTAGGGAATCGTATAATTTTCAACGAGGTGGACAGATAGGTAGATTGTTGCGCTGGCGCGCATCCTTGAGAAATAACAGATTCCTTCTTCGTATTGTTCACCTACTTGCCTGTACAAACCAGGACGGAATGTGCTGGTTTCTGGCAATTTTTCCTGTTTTATGTTTTAGCATAAGTAGTTTTGTGTTCTAGTTTTTGGAGACTACTTTGTACATTGTGTCTACCCGAGTTTTACTGGCTGAGATCGTGAGGCTCCGCTTCACTTTTCACCAAACTTTTCGGTTTGCTTGTATATTTCTGAACACTCAGGGTCGTATTTCTTGTATTCTGTTCACCGGGCATGGTTCTGTATCAGTTTTCTTAGAAACCTCTATTTTTTAATGTAGAACTGCGCGTGCGGTGTTTTTCTGAGATGCGGGTCTCGAAACCGATATCGTTTTTGTTGATTATACATAGTACTCAAGTGGATATTCTTTTACAGATGTGTTTTGCCTCTGACCATAAGCCATCAGACACATACAGGGGAATTCAGCTATCTCGGACATCGCTGAGTTACGTCGGTACTGCGTCCAAGAATGCCACATAGCGACGTCCGAATTTCAGGTGAGACTACGAAGGAGAACATTTGTGCTCATGGTGACGCTTAAACAACATTTGATTGGTGGAACTTGAATTTTCGGCCTAGATCCCAACCTGGTCAGTTTATGCGGAAATCTGGTGGAAAGGACAGGTGAACTACGTGTAGAATTTTCAACATGAGTTGACTTAGACTTCAGAACGAAATCCCCAAGTGGATTTTACCCAGGCTACCTAAGTTTTTGGGGATATCTCTACTGAATTCAGAATGATTTGGAACATGTGGGACGTTTTAGGTCACATATAGCTTAACTAGTTTTGAGCTACTTCAACCGTATCGCTAATTTTGCCCATCGTTACTCGATGATGTTGCTTCAGCAAAGGTATAATTGTTGGAATATTCAGTTAGGATTTCCGTCTCTTGCCTAGAGTGCATATTGCATGCACTTTGGACGCATGGTAGCCATACTTTTCACAAGTCAGTTTGGACAGTGGGCGATCGACGTTTATCTTTTTTTCCATCAATGCTCGAGGTTGTCCTACACTAGCTCATCTGTTCCTGCCTAGTCTTGGACATGCTTGCTTTGGGTGGCATGGCAGTTGGGCACTCAACGAGTGTTACTGCTGAATGACCATCATCATCATCCATACTTACCAAATCGCAATCAGTTATCTATCCAACTAATTGGTTTACCTTGAAAATGTAAATATTACAGGTAAAAGGCGAGTCAGATTGTGGAATCCTTGTTGTCTCTTTCTGTAACGACTTAAAAGTGTGCGGGCAGTGGTCATTTGTTTTCTTCATGCTGATGCGTATAATTTCCCTTCGGTCCGATAAAAAATTACTGGTTGACGTTTTTAGTTGTTTTTTTTATTCTTCAGTCTGCATGTGTTGGTTTTATGAGCCAGTTTCTTAGTAGGCATTATCCCTCCCAAAGTTCGAGCCTGTAGTCAGCCTACCCTCAAACCACCGTCTGTAAACTACAGGATGTCTCATGTTACACGCAAAATTTAATTGGGTAATTAAACGTAGCCGAATAAGAGAAGGATAACAAAAATCTTTATTAATGGTGGCCACATAAA